AACTTATTTCTTTAATAAAAATAATAATAATAATAATAGGGTAAAGTTGCCTAATACGAGACCCATTTCTTAAAGAAGTCACAACTGTCGACTAAGAACACTTTTATTAAAATTCGTTACGTGAATGTACAGTTCGTAATAAAGTAAAAATTAAATCTATTTCTTCGGCACTTTGTACACTAAAAGAAAATTGGGTACCTAATATGAGACTCTTCTTATAATAGAAACTTCCGAGTAGCTTGGTTATTTAACGATACGCAACTGGTAAGCCTTAAACTCCATTGCATGCACTGTACAACAGTACAGTAAATTCTCTACAAGTGTCAGTCAGTTTGGATTCTACAAGTGTCATTATAGATGGTCCTACGCCTAGGCTGCGTTATTGCTGCGCCTATGTTATCTCGCCCGCTGTCAGTCAAGCATATAACGCTACACCACTGGGTTTCTTTTACAAGATTTCACGGCTGGACAATTCATAATAGAAAAATATAATTTCTTTAATTTTACTTTTTTTCATCTGAAATTTTTTTTAACATGTTGCTGAGATTTTTCTGATGAAAATGATATCAAACACGATATAATTTGAACAACATTTACTTATTAATATTTATTGAGTAATTAATTTAATGTCGGCCTACCTCCACGTAAAAAAAAATGTAGGGACGATTCTACAAGTGTCAGTCAAATGCAGGGCCGATTCTACAAGTGTCAGACAAACAGCAGGAAAATAAATGTTGTCAACTAAAAAAAAATTATAAAGCATAATACTATAATGCTATGCTTAAAATGTATTTTCTTGTGGCCGCCTGACAGCAACCTGTACATCTGGCGTGACAGTGAACGTGTTAATAAGTAAATATTGTTCACATTATGTCGTGTTTGATGTCATTTTCATCAGAAAAATCTCATCAATATGTAAGAGAAATTTCGGGATAAAAAAACGTAAAATTAAAAAAGTTGATATTTAAATCGCTTGGTTGCCTCGACTCACGTTTCATCCTTATCTTTATTCGCTGTCCTTGTCTACGTTCGGCAAACTACAAAGGCGGGCGCGAAACTCGAAAACGTAGTCCCTGACTCTACAAGTGTCAGGTTAGGTTCCTTGCCGACTGACACTTGTGGAGACATTACCGTATTTATGAAAATGATTAGAAACTTACTATTTTCGAGGTATTTGTAATTTAATCGAACCACTTGAAAAACTTTCATTTCAATCAAATTTCATATTTAATTTGACAATTAACGCGGTTAATTACGAAAGAAAACAGAGAATTCTGTAACGGAGATATGCTGGGGTCTCATATTAGGCTACTTTATCCTACATCTACAACTGGCCTCTTTTTGGGCCAACCAGCAGATTTGATGTAATCCGGTGTGACGTGCGCGAAGGGACATCCAGTGATGTTCCTTCAGTATTGCGTATATAAAGATTGTCAATTAGAAGTTATCAATTAGAAAGGTCTAATGGTTTTGTTCTTTCGAGTCTTCTGATTTCCCCTTCATTACCGATGAGAGAAGTAACTAGCTCGTTGGGGTGATTGACTAGCTTCTGTTTATGGGATGCAGCAAATTGCTGTGCTAGTTCGCGTACATATTTCATTCGGAGATCTTTACGTAACGTTTCATTGCTAACATACCACGGGGCTGATGTTATTGTTCTAAGAGCCTTATTTTGTAGCCTTTCAATGATATCGGTGTTTGATTTTTTAGCACAACCCCACAGTTGAATCCCGTGTGACCAAGAACGCGTTTCTTTCCGAAACTACTTTTTTCAAATTTCAGTTTACAGCGTCACTTTGTAAATATTCGACCGATTCCTGTCTACCTTTGCAGACTTTTGGGTGAATATCTCCTGAAGAGGGCAAACCACGAGAAATAACGAAATTGTTTACGTTAACGTGTTTAACTGCAGGATGAAGTGAAGAATTACGACGAAAATCGAAAGTTTTCGTTCAAACTGCCGCCATTTTCTCAATTTTCCAGTTATTTTCGCGAATTGAGATTTGCTCTCCGCGCGATTTCCTAGAGAACAAAACCTTCTCTTTGCTTTTCCTGTCTCAAATGAACAGGACAACATTTGACAAATGTTTAAACAATACCTTCGACAAACTTTCAGTTTTCATCACTAATCGTTCCTTCTTTACTCCACGAGTCTAAAAACCTAACCTCAAAATTTCAAAAGAACAAGCTTTCATATAAATTAGCGCCGATCGTTAATTTTCCATAATCACCGAAGCGACGAAATAATCCTCAAAACCGAAAAAAATTCCATTTCATTTTTCACACAAGAGCAGATACACCAGTTCAGCGGGAAAATCAAAGGTCATCCGTGATGATTGCCGGAGAACAGAACGTGACTCCGGAGTAGAATCGAAGAAGAAAGAAGATGGACGAGTTTGCTCGAGGGAAGTCAGTTCCTCCGAGCACCTTTTCATCGCGAGTTATCAGCGGTCACGTGTCCACGGACAGGCATCGATCGACGATGCCGTAATCCGGTAATGAACGAGTGGCGCGGTAAAAAGCGCGATCCAAGGTATTCCCCGGACGATCGTGAATCGTGATCGCCGCGTGACGCAATCGTCCGCCGTGCAGAACGAGCCTTCTTCGAGCAAAACTATCTTACAACCGTCCAACAGCCATTACACTTCTTCTCCGCCCTCTGCCGTTCGCGTTTCTAACGAAAAATCAGCGAAAAAGATGTAACATTGGGATAATCATCTCAACGCTCCACGTGAAAACAAATTATCGAATCGAGAGGTTTTCTCTGCTTGTGTATGTAATAGCCTTCCCATTGCCTTATTTTAAAACGAAGAATGTTTTTACACTTTGTCGTTGTAAATACAGAATGCTTTATTCAAAAATCGGTAACATATACGTTCGGACTGGAAAGGGGTTAGGAAAAAGAATGGCGGCTGGTATCTGGTGTCACGTGATCTGCGGCGACCAGTTCGAACGAATTTCGTTCGAACGACGACGACGACTCGTTCGACTAGTTTCCACGCTCGCCGATAAGACAAAAGCGACGAATTTATTTTACGACGGAAACTAACGACGCAGGGCAGCCACCTTCCAACTCTAGCCGGACATCCAGAATCGTTTTAATTTTACAGCGGTCAGGATTTATAATGCAATCTAACGATCGGACAGCTGGAGCAATTTCGATAAATTCTAACCGGTATACCGAATAGAGAAGGTATAAATTGTCGGAGTTAGATACGATTTAATCGACTTCCGGAAAAAGTCTATTTTCGCTAGAGAAGAATGAAAGAAAAAAGGCGCGAGGTTTATGTTTGAGTTAGATTTCTGGGTAAACCAGATAATCTTTATCGCAGCTTAAACTCAAATACGAGCGATTAAACCGAAGGAAAAAAAAACATTGTTGAGCGAGGATACGAGGTGTGATTTTGGTTGGTGAGAATCGTAGTCGGAATGAATTACGTCTGCATCCTAACGAATAGCACGCCACTTCCAGCGAGCGATAAACGCGACGACGAGTCGTTGGAACAGTGTTGAAAATACCGCTGGAAGAAATAAACCTGCTCCCTCGTGCGATAAACCATAACCTAAAATATTATCCGGCACGAAACTCCCGGTAGCTTTTCGATCTCCGCCTGAATGAAATTTACGTTGAAAATAATTACACGTGTAAATTTTCCTCTGTACGAATAAGCAGCGAGGAACGACGGAGAAAAAATAAACAGGAATCGAGCGGCAAGGTTAGGCGGGCAACGTGTAACGCTTTCCCCTAGGCTGGTTGAGAAAACGGGTAAACGGAAGTTTCGTCTGAACGGAAAAGATTGCCAGCCAGTGAGCGAGCGAGCGAGCGAGCGAGCGAGCGAGCACGAGAGGTACAATGGCGTGGTGGTTTAGCTTGAAAGGTAACGCGAAGTATTTTGTTGGTAAGAAACGCTCGAGTTTAGCAGTGTACCGCGGCAAAGAACCGTTAGGATAGTAAAGTTTTATTGCGTCCCCTTTTCCCGTCGAGAAGCGCACGCAAGCTAATCTCCGCGAAGAAAAGTGGAGAATACGGTGTATGTACGTTTTGGTACATGCGATTAGAAGCTTGTTTTACAGTCGCGAACAGTCGAGTCACGAAACGAGCGTTACACTTTTACGACGGTAGTGGTGGAAACGCGAAGGAAAACGAGGAGTCTCGAAGCTCCCGTGGGTAGCAACCGAATCGAGAAACGAAACGCTGCCTCTAGCGTGATAAGTTCGCGCGTAGGGCGAGGGCCAGACGGAGGGACGGAAGAGAAAAAGAGAGAGGGAGAGAGAGAGAGAAAAGGAAGCACCGAGTGGAAGAGGGAAGAGAGCGAGAGACAGAGAGGGAGGGAGCAAGTTGGCAGCATCTACGAACCTATAAACACGCCGCGCACACAGATCGAACGCAGCCACGGTTGTCGGTCTCGTAACCGCGGTACAACGACCCCTGGCCTGCTGTCGAACGCGCCTTCGCACTAATTGCGATACCCCAAGATTCGACCTACACACTCGTTCCTGGTCAACCATGTTTTTCTTGCCGTGGGAAAAGGTAGGTTCAATTAGGGACACGAGAAATTCGTCGTAGCCTTGTGTATTTGTTATATTACTTTCGCGTTCTTCCGTCGAATACAAGTGGCTCCTCCAGACGATACCGAGCGAACTTCCGAGAGAGAGAAAAACTGCTCCAAAAAAAAAACGCATCGTCCGAACGTAAACACTGCGTGGCTACACAACTCGACCGAATGCTCTTGCTCCGAGATTGTGTATTGTTATAAACGCGCGATGGCCTACGTTCCGCGCGACAAGGAAACGCAGAGTACAGATAGGAAGTAAACGATACGAATACGGGATGGTGTGTATAGATCGTGTGTATATACACGTACACGGAGCAAAGGCACACCACGCGTTTCTTTCTTTCTAGTCTCTCGGTTCGTTCCTTCTGTTACTCCCGGTCCGTTCCTCGAGGCGTTCGTCGAACCACGAGAGACAGAAGAGGAAAAGCTATCTCGCTCACTCACCTGTCAGAACTCTCGGAGCTGTCGTATCGATCGGCGCACCGCTTCTTGCCGCAAGGGCCAACGAGGGTGTCCTCGGCCGTCCTAACCTGTCCCTTGAAAGGGCTGCCCTGATGCCTGCCGGCGACGAGGCCATTTGCAGTAACACCAGCGGCACCAGCACCACCAGAAGCAGAAACAGCGGCAGCAGCACCAACACCACTACCACCATCACTACTACTACTACCATCACTAGCGATCCCGTCCGTCTTTCGCACCGCGTCCTCGTCCTCTCTGCTTGTCTCGCGGCTCGTATCGCATCCGAGACGACTATTCGGTTTTTCTAACGCTTGCTCTTCGTCCTCGTCCCCATCCCCCTCCTGGTGTTTGTGGACGTTGTCGTTCACGTTACCGCGGTTCAAACGACGACACTCGCTCATCTCGCTGCTCGTCGTCGTCACACGATCGTTCGGAGCACTCGCGTCGAGAAAAGCAGCGTCGACGGCCGCGGACCTCGACCGTCGACCGTCGCCGACCGAGGAGGCGGCATTGTCACCACCGCGCGTCGCGTGACCGGTCATCACGCCACCCTCGCCACCACTCGTACCATTATTATTATTACTACTACCGTTACCGTTACTATTACTATTAACGCTATTGCTCTCTTCCTTTTTTTTCACAGTCTTTGTTACTACATCGATCCGTACCACACCGCCACGACACTTTTTCGATACACCTTTCTTCTTCCCCGCGTTCACTGTATCGGTCTCCTCCTCTTCGTCTTCTTCGTCTTCTTCCTCCTCGTCGTCGTCGTACTCGTCGTAGTCGTCGCTGGTCGGTGACGTAAACGGAACAACGCACGTCGTGTCAACACTAATACCACTACCACTCTCGTTTTTACTAACGCGTTCGTTACCGTCCACCGCTTCGTTATCCTCGTGCTCCCGACGATGATAATGGTGATTATGATGGTGGTTATTGTTGTTGATATTACCGTTGCTGTTGTTATTATTACCGTTCGCGTTACTACCGGGATGCCGACGAGAAGGATGAGGATGGGTATGACAATTACGACGGAGAGGACGATGTTGTTGCCGATGATGTTGCTGAGGATGACTCTCGAGCACCGTGGCGTCTTCGTGGACGCGTCTCGCGATATCCTGGCCCGTGCTCAACGACGTAATCGAAGACGCCGCATCCTGACGTTTGTGTCTATCCCTGGTTAAACGAGAATCACTGTCCCCCAGGTCGGTGGCCGCGTCTTCCGCGGACGGACCGTCTGCCATCTTGTAAACGAATGCACTGCTGGCTGGCAGAGGCCCTATGGCACGAGCACGGGCCGCGCCACCGCTACCTCGCTTCTACGGCCCGGCACGGCTCACTTAACCCCTCTTTTCTTCACCGTACAAAACCACCGCCACCTCTCGCCGACGGCTACCCACTGACGGCCCCCACTACCGAACGCCGCCGACGCCTGCTCGCGAACATTGACGACGATGCCCGATTCTCTCCGAACTCACCCGAACACGCACGAACACCCTCATTTTTTTCTCCATTCCACCGACTCTCGCGACATCCTATGGCGCCTTTTTTATGCTAATCTTCGGCGGGAATTTTTAAACGAATTCTAATACAATTTTAGAATAATAACAATGATAAGGCTGTATCACGCGATAAATAAAATTGTGTGTAGAAATAATAAGAAGAAATTTCTTAATATAACCGATATTACAAAATGTAACAATTACGAAAATAATAGGGATAGTGGTCGTTTCTTTGGTTCAAAAATTGAAGAAATGAAACAACGAAAGTAGAGGAAAGTAAAGGTTTTAGCAACAAAGTTGTAAAGGGGGAGTAATGAAAATGTTGATTTGAATTAACTTACAGAAAGGACGAATTTCGGTATTTCGTAATACATAAAAGACATTTTGTGTTTGTTATTCACTCTTGTTTATTCAGAAAAAATTAATGTTTCTGATAGACATTCCAAGAAGGTAGTTGAATACTGTAATACTGTTAAACGAAACGCTTAACCGTGAGCACCATAAGATTTATTCGCGTCCTGGAATGTAATTCCAAAATGAAAGACACATTTTATCTAGCGTGAACTATGCACAGAGGCAGTAGCGAGTGTCAATTATGCTATGTAAGTGTAGGCCTTTATACATGCGTATTTACACGATATACATTATACTTGTCATTTTTACGACTATTCGTTTTGCTTTTGTTCCTCGTAGTATAAAATTGATTGGCGTGCTGTTTGATTCGAAGTTTTCACTAAACTTCTATTTTTCCTACATACGTTTTTACACATTGATTCGCGACTAGGCTACACTAGCTGAAGATGTGCGCGATACTGCAAATACAAGATACAAACGTAAGAAAAATATGAAATTAAAGTTATCCTGTGAATGTGCGATCACTTTATCGACTTTGTCATCGACCTAAATTTCCTTACGATTCCTGGAATGTGCGTGCTCGAACGCGTTTTGTCATACAAAAGCGCTAGTTTTTTTGAGCGTAACACCGATCGTGTATTATTCGAAACAATAGAAACTTAATTTACGTGACCTTATCATTGAAATGATAAAACAAATGTCAAGTAGCCACTTTTCCGATTGTATACGTATAGGCACAGGGCAGGCACTTTTAATATCCTTACAACAGTTGAAATTTGTAGAAAAATTTAAAGATCTCCTTCGTCCTTAACCTAACATTTTGAAGCCACGAAAATTAAATAAAAAAGAGAGGTTAATGTCACCTCCAGTTCTAGACTATCCTGCGCTATCTACTTACGTTTCTCATTTTTCATGCTAATATTTACTTTACGTAAAAAACGAGAGTTAAATAGTTATCCCTATTTTTTAGAAGCTTTCCGTTAATTTCGGATAACTTTGGTTCAACTAGAAACACTTGCTAAATACAGATGTATAAAATCCTTGAACTTTAAGGCGATGCAATCGATGACAACGTTTCCGTAATTATTGTCATTCTTCGATACGTACAACTTGAAGTGGGAGGTATACCGGTATATGTATAGCAAAACCACCATTTTAAATTTAGTGGCAATAATTTTCAACGTTTATACTTACGCGCGTAATCTTTGGATATATTACACCACCTATGCATAACCTTTATCTATCTTAGAAATTGTACAGAGCAATTGTATCAGAGTAAATTGAATTTTTATTTATATATTAGCAAAATATGAAAAAGATTTACAATACACGTAAAATTGCAACAGTCGCCAAAATATTCTAATCAATTTTACGTATACGTGATCGAAATTACGTTAAGTATTTTATCGTTCCCTGAACGGAATGTTTATAAACTGCTCCCATTAGCTCCATACACTTTCTTAACTTACGTCAATTATACTCAAACTTCACTTCGCTACTCGCCGCGTACTTCTTTCTACTTTCCGACAATTTTATCCTAATAGCAAGTTCGTATAATAACTTAATGGACGTTGATCGCCTGAATCGCTACACGTACTTCAATCACACGGTTGATCGGTAGTCTTCCTTACAAATATAATTTCTCTTAATCGTTTCTCTAATACTCGTTACACGTTCCAAGCTATACTTCAAAGAAAAACCATCGATGATTTTGCTAAAGACGATCGGTTTCGATGTTTTTTTTCTCGTCGTGATCCCCCTGTGACATGGACAAACGCGACGTATTCGCTAATTCTGCTAACAAAAGGTGCTCATTGTCCAAGGGGCTCCTCGATGTACCGCTAAGTAAATTATTCTGACCGCTGGTGCTCCTAGCTAATCTTCGTTCGATTCTATCGCGCCTCTGTTTCTCTCTTTCTGTCTTTAATTTCGTGAATTCGTCGTCGGAGTTAACACTCGTACACGAAGAACTTCTAGTGCTTATAAGATCGTCCGCCATGACACTGCTAACGTAACTCGACGCTGGCTCGTATGCGATGCTCGATCTTGCTGATTGCGTGGTACGCTGCGTCCTGGAATCCAAAGAATTTCACTTTGCAAGAAAGAGAAGCGATACAGGAAGAACATGTAAGAGGAAAATTGCAGCTATTAACCTTGACTCGGGCACGTATACTATGTCATTGCTACCGCCGTTACTTCCCTCCATTACTCCAGTTGCAGGAGCACTGGACGAAAATATTTCTCCGTTTCTCATATATTCCATACCAGGGACAGCGACGGGAGCACTGGGAGGCGGTGGTCCCGGGGAAAATATGCTCTGCACGTGAGGTTTCTTGTCCGATTTCATCGAAGTTAGAGTCATTTGCTCGTCTGCCTCTTCTTTGATTACTCCGATCCTCATCGAGCCACCTCCGACTATTTGTAATTATTTGTTAAACGTAGCCAAACAGCCAGGTACTCGAATGTCTATAAAAATGAAGAATTGTTAGACGTACCAACGGCTCGATTTTGCAACGAAGCAGCTGAACTCGATGTCGCCAGTCTTCCTGGGGTTTTGGTACCACTCGACGTGCCGCCATCTGGCCTATCTTCTTTGCTGAATAATCGTTTCAACACGCTAGTCACGCTGTTCACTCTCGTTAGGGAACCCCCCAAATTACTGGGAGTGGAACCCCCGCTCAGAGTGCGGTCCCGATTGCTCACTCTGCTAGCGCTTCTACAAATAAACACACACTTGCCGTTCCACAAAAATACTTTTCAACCGTTTCTCGACGTTCAACTGCTAGGCTAGCACAACGAATATACAAAAGCAAATATCATTACCTCGCTATTTTACCACTTTCGGTGGCACTCCTGGTCAAGCGTTACAGATATCAAGTTTTCAAATAAAAGTTTGATCGCGTTTAAAGCGAAGTAAAAGCGTTTACAAGGTAGCATTTACAAAGTGGCGTGCGAGATTCTTCGTGACCAACCTTGACATTCTGCCGGTCGCCGTGAAATGTATACCGGACGCAGCGTCGTCGGCCATATCGCTATGGAACTTCTGGTGATACTCCCCCGCCAGTTCGTCGATTCTGACCGAGGATGGTTGAAGTTCTTGCTGAGCCGCGGATAATTGAATTCCAGCCGTAGATGGTTGCGGGTGCTCCTCGCGGAAGGCCTGCGACGCAGCCGTGTAAGGAAGTTCCGTGGGGAAGATCTCGTCCCAATATTGATCACGAATTAATTCTGGATGCTCGTGATGCATCTCGTCAACGATGAGATAGCCAACCTTGGCGAGATAATTTATGAAAATTAGCAGGGAGGTGTATATCAAAAAGGAGATAACGGTATATAGTCTGCGTTAAGCGAGGTACTTGTAAATTTCTATCGATTATCCAGTTAACTTCGAAGTCGTCGTCGTCTTCGCCAAATGGGTTTATCAAGGTCTCCGCCACTTTCAACCAACCCATGTAGAAGAAGAACTGCAGCGTCGTAAATACTGGGAAATAGAGATCGATAGTCGACGTGGACGAATTCTGTACCCATTGTCGACCCATAACGCTCGTTAAAAAGTACGTATATACAGCCAACGTTACTACCTACAGAAAACAGACGTTAGATTCGAACACGTTGTACACGATTTCAGTGACTTTTCGAGAATCTCCTACCTGAGTGTAAACTAAAGGAACGCTAATGGTATCGTAGTGCATCAGGCTACCGCAGAGACCGCGAAACTTGTTTAGCTCGTCTATCAACGTTTTCACGGCGAAGTCGTCGCGAATGCGACCCTCCTTTCTCGCTCTAGTCACGATACTCGACGCCCATACGATCGGCAGCCAATGCTTGCTAGGCTTAGGGAACTTGGAGTTCAAACTCTGAAATATAACGAGCTCGTTCTCCAGTAGCAAACCGCTATCTACGAAATGTTCCAACGTCGGGAACCGTTTTTTCACGCGAGGTGAGACCATCGCCAATACCAGCGTCAGGCAAACGCACACGTACCTGAAACAAAAGCAAGCATCTTTTGTCGACGTAGCTTTATCTTCGTAGAACTGGAATAAAGGTTGAAACTACGCGCCTCTCCTTGACTTCGATCGAATATCTATTGTTACCGTTTTGTCGTGGCACAGAAAACTGTTGTATACCTGACGATGGTTCGACGCATTAGACGACCCCTCTCGTCGTTCCCATGAATAGTGGCCGACACAAAAACCGCGATTGAGTCTGGCCAGGGTATCACCATGTATTGATTCCACCATCTGGTCATGACAATACTAACGTAGAAACCCAAGACGAAAGACAACGGTATCAGATCGCTGTACTCGTTGCAGTAGGCCACCACAGCCTCGAAAATCTTCTTCTGGTCTTCGTTCAATATTAGTCGGTAGATACTCGACAGGGAGTAGTAGATAAAGAGGAATAGAGCTAGGTCCAGCCAGACGAGTTTGTATATGCTCGCTCGCCATCTGCAAAAAATGATACAATCAACTCTGTGACCCATTTGACGAACGAGATACTCTTCACCTTCCAACTCTCCTACATAGTCACAACCCACGGTCCATCTTCCCTAAACCCTACCCTATCTCTGTTAAATAAAGTTCTGTTTCTACGCAACGACGATCGAGACACCGTTTTCAGGACGTAAAGCCCGATACGGAGTCTACGAATCTCCTCAGCTTCCAGTTAGTTTATACATAAATATAGAACATTTCTGACAACTTTTCTCACCGATTTACCTTCGTTACACATTTTCCTAATGAACGTTATAGAATAGAGTGGTTGATGGAGTGGAAGAAAGCAAAAAAGATAGAATCAGAGACTCCGCCTCGGCAGTAGAGGATTTGGAGCAATCCGGGCATCACAGAACGAAAACCGTATTAACAGCGGATTAATTGTATCTGAAAATACCGCGAGATAAAGGAGATTTAGAATTTCATTCCTATCGTTGTACCGTGTTTTCACCAAAATAAACACGATAACGTTACTTAGCGCCTAAAGTGTTTTTTAAGTGCCTCGACGATAAGTATCCCAAGTCTTACGGAACGAAGCTCGATCGAGAGAATAACGTTCGAAGAGTTTCGAAAGACATACCGCCGGGAGATCCTCTCGTGTCCGACGTTTCTCTATCACGCGATATCCAGGCCCGAGGAATATAGGAATAGTTCGTAATTGAGCTATCCTTGAATTTGACAACTGGCGCAACAGAGTCTCCGCACAATTCTCCCTTGCCGCGGCCGCCGAGCGGAGCCTGTGTTTACCGGTTGAACACGCGACGACGTAAACCACGTCTCTGATACGGAGTGAAACGGGGGACGAACGCGGATCGATCCGTTAAGCTCGCGAATGAATTACGAGGGGGTCGATTTGCCGACTTTAGATACGGCCTACGCACGATTATGCCGTATTTTCGAGCGTGACGAGGAAATATTCTTAAGCGTGAAACGAGCGACAGCTAATGGCCTGTTGGATCGTTAACGAGCTTACGATTGTAACGAGTGAAAGAAAAGTACGCGACGTGAATACGTAATTTCGAAGACGTACTTAAGTTGTATTTTACTCTTAGGAGAGCTAATTATAGGTTAGGCGTAATTACATCGGGAGACCCTGAAAACTGAATGAAATTTATCGAAAGCGTTTGCCCTTTCTAAGGTTTCTCGTGGTTGTTAAATCAGTCGTCGACTGTGAGCAGAAGTGGACAAAAATGAGAAAGAGATGAGAGGCAAAAGGGCAGAAGAGCCGATGACAAACGCTTCTTTGAAAGACAAAGGAACGACACGCGCGGAATTCGGAGCACCGATCGCAGGCGCAAGGAGCTCGAAACGAGCCGCTTCCGAGCGTGGATACGGTGTAATTGATACAGCAGTAGAAGGGTCAACGACCAGGAAATACAACTGCAACGGAGAATCAATTGAAAAAGGAAAGAGAGAAAAAAATGGTAAACGTCGTTTATAGCTCGGTGCGGGATTTATTTGTTCAATTAGCAAAGCAAACACACCTCTTACGACGGGAACAATAATAAAATTCAAGCCTGGTAAACAGCGGTTGGTTACGCGAAACGCGTAAGCCCTTGATGGATTGCCCCTGTCGTTTAACGAATGCGACAAATACGGAGAAACGAACGATACGATCTTCCCGCTGACTTCACTCGATACGTTCTCCTCGAGAAGGCACGAGGCCTTCGAATGGTTATGCTTCCCCCTTTGGTATCCTTCGCGTGCACGTGACTCACGATTTACGTTAGAATTCTTCCGAGTTCGCGGTTACAGAATGACGGAAGTTAGTGGAAATACCGTTTAATAAGAATTTCGAGCCAGCGATAGCTGGCTAATTGGACCAATTTTCCGAATCCGCCGTATATGTACCAGCGCAGACTTCGATCTCCCTTGGAAATTGATCGTTCGCTGGTTAGTGAACGTTGTCTAATAAGTATCGAGTACGTATACGTTTGCGCTTCTCTTCGACCGAGGAGAAATATACCGTGATAATTATTTCAGCAAATCGTCATACTTATATATAGATGAAGTTACGAAGAAAAAAAAAATATATTCCACACCGACGACCTTTTCGTTAGCACACGCAAAAACGAACGTGTCGACTGAGCGAATCGAGCCCAGACCTAAAGCGCTTACCTTAGGAGTAATTTTAGAAAGCAACCGAGACCTCTGCAGGTAGCGACTTCGGCAGTGTAAGTGACCGTCATTTCTCACGATACACCTGCTGTGCAGAAGAAGTACGACATAACCAACTGCAGCTGCCTTAGATCCCGTCTACGTTCTTGCCAGTAAAGTACACACTCTCGCCCAGAGTCATCTCTTCCGACACGCGTGCCGCATCTCCTCTTCAAGCTCAGATCTTCTCTGACACCGAAACGAAACGATCACGGATAAGTATTAATTAAATTGCGCTCGAACTTATCTCCGGACTCTTCTCTCTCGACGTTAGACAGACAGACGAGAAGGCTGCGAAGGTCATCCTCGATGCGCTTTGCACAATGTCTCTCTGTCTCTCGCTCTCTTTTTCTCTGTCTTCTTCGTTACGATTACGTAATTCGTGGCAATCGCACGGCGACGAAAAACCAAGCTACTCAATGAAACTGCTTGCTTTCCGTTCGATTTGCCTCTCACCGGTTCTCTTACTCTTCCCCTTCGAGTACACTTCGATGAATGGACTCGTCTGTCGCTTGAAAGTAATATCGATGATTAACACGGCATCGATCCTACGAGAAACCTACTTTTGTACTTTGTTACGACTTTCTTTCAGTTAAAACGTTCCTATTTTCGTTCGTATAATAAAAATAGTTCAAGATTATTAAAATAATGTCGCGACACACGTGAAACACCTGGACGGTAGTACACTTATGCTAATTGAGAGCATTGATTTTTTTTTTTAAGTTTCTAGCACAGTTCTGATTCGTTCCCTATTACCGATAAGTCACAAGCACTTCACACCCCTTGGTCTAGACATCGATGCGTCCGATGTGGTTTCCAACGCGCGAAAGGCGTCCGCAATTCGTCTCCGTTTCTACGAACTCCACAGGTGGGTCCAAGAGTACCGACTACAGCGACAATCGGTGATCGTTATTACCGATGATTCACTGGCACTCGTAAAGTAAGTGCACAGTCGTCGTTTTATAGCCCCAGTTGCCGATACCACCCTTATCTCTTCGTACAAGGAAGCGATGAAACGGAAGAACAAGGATACACAAGTACTAATAAACAGTATATACCATACGTAACATTGTATTTAGAGCAACGAATCGTAACGCGATTGGCAAACCTAGACGATCGTTCTGATTTTTCTGGAACGCCGGGGACTGTTCTCCAATCAGATTGCACTGGTCCGACGAGCGTAATATCTTCGAAACGCTAATGAACGATGTCAAGCGGCCAAGCCTTTGTTGATCACTTCCGTTCTCGGTGCAATGACTCATTTTCGTTCTATATTTCATAGGCCGTATGTAGTGCGCGTTTTCTAACCGTTTCTAGCGACTACACAGATTACGGTAATCACGCGATTCGTAACCTTGCACGTGGATCGTTATTGGTAACCCGTTATCGTGCCGCCGTCCTGCTTTACATTCGAGCTCTCACACTTGTACGAGCACAAGTCTAAAGCTGTTTCGACCGATTTCTGAAAGACACAACGTCATTTACTTCCACGACTAATTACACGTAACTTCTATTGTTTACCCGCGCATAGATGCATCTACAGTTTTCGATAGCTATCGCGGTTTCTAATCGGCGAACACTTTTCAACACCGCTCACACAGAACTCACGTAGCAAGTTTTATTCTTTCTGTACTCGACAGCGTGATAACGTCGCAGATAGTCTTCTACAAGTGCCCCACTGTAGCACCAGTTTAAGGGTACACGCTGATAAATATTGCCAGTTCGATTTTATATTCAAATAGTTTCACTGTACGTATGTATTTATGGCCATTGACACACCTGTGTGTTTTGTAGTTATTACAAGCGAGCAACACATTCGCGCAAAATCTGTTGAAACCCCGGATAAGAAAGTTTCAGTTAAGAAAAAGCGTGCAAAATTCAGCTAGTATATATGTCAATTGCAACTCGTGGATAATATCTGTGCATTTGTTTCTCGCGTGATACTAATTGTCTCTCATGACACTATGCTAGAAATGCTGTTCCCGTTTGTGACTATCGTGGCGAGCACGTGTAGGTATATTACACAGTCATCCAGAGAAACCAGAATGACGCAGATGAGAAAGTATATAACATTCGTATACGACAAATTAATATTCCCAATTTGTCTTATTTATCGTGTTGTACACTGAATGACAAGCGATAGAACCAGAGCTGTCATCCGCTTGAGTATTACTCCCGGGCAAAAAACGTGACTGTTTAAGAAACTATAGAACAACCGTAAAAAAATTCCCGTACGTAACTCAAATGTGGGTAATTCGCTACATTTTTGCAATAATACACGCGCAGTTCTTAGTTGACGTACTGATCCTTTTTATTATCACGTGACCTCGCGATGGTGTTTTCCCCTGACTATACTAAAAGCAAGAGACATCTCATTAATCTTTTTAAAACTGGTCCGACGTGGTACGGGTCCAGTTATAGATCCCGTCCGGTGAAAGAACTTTAGTACCACATCTTCGAGGGGTACGAGACTTCGGGACAAAGGAGAAGATATCGAGGCTCGAACAACTCCTAAAATGTGTATGGTCCACTTGGTCCTTCTATCATATGCACGCTTCGTACGAAGAGATTCATTTCACAGAATTTCGAGCACAACTGGTCGCGAGTTTCCCGGACAACAGGCACAATCGCGATCCAATGAATCGTGCACACAAAATCCCGCCTACCTTTCGCAGAAGCAGTACTGAATATGTACTGATACAACCGTTGCCGCAGCACGCCAAAAGATCCCCCGTTACTCCACTTTCAGCCTTTCGATCCCATCCCCACCGTGACTTCACGTTTCCGCATCAGGCAGTGGTGCTCATTGAAAACTATTCATCTATAATTGTTTGCAAATTACTGAACAAACGCAAATCACAGATGAAACAATACTGCAACGAGAACATAAACGGACAATATTACCACGCTATGAATAAAATATAATTACAGTAAGCATTCGTATGCAAATAATCGATGCAGGAGTAATTTATGATTTGCAGGGATGTATAATAGTTAGGGGTTTGAAGAGTCCATCGTACGATTAGACAGTCACGCTTAAAAATATTGTACTAACAGTCAAAGTTGTGTCAATATTTGAAACACGTCATGAACAAAATTGTGGAAGCAAATATTGCAAATTGAAAACTGGAAATGAAGGTGATATTGTTCTCACGTGTCACATTACAGGATTGTAGGAGATAGCAGAAATATGATATAAATGAAACAATAGTGTTTATAGAACACTTGATTTTACTGGTAATCCCTCTATATATATATATATACACTCAATTTGTCTTAATCGTTTATCAAAATACTATATCAACACGTGCAACGTGTTGTCAACAAGATATTACGTTTAATAGAACCTCTATACTGGCAGATATTACATACGTTTCCAAAGTTACAATAATAATACAATTGCGAGTGTGAAATACGCAAGCATCACACTCCTGGTATACGTAACTTAAGAATATAATTTATATGAACTTCGTAGCAGACAATGTACATTTCATATACCTTTTTACAATATACACTCTTTTACACTCATTTCGAAGAGAGTAATTACGCGACCTGAATTATTCGTTAATTAATTCCTCATGCAATTCGAGCACACGTACGAGTGAGTCCACGCGGACCTTTCACTTGAACCGGCAATGGGCATCAATATTGCTACTGCATCAATAGTCTTGGTCCCTAAAAGTCACAGCCATCAAATGCAACGAACAGTAGTCTGAGATTTAAGGCCACTCGGTTCAACTAAAAATACTGTAATCGATGAATGACGAAAACGATCGACGATAAACGATGATTCCGATGATCGACGTAGATTCGATAGAGTAGAGCATTTTTTTCAATGAAAAAATGCACGTTACAATTAATAATACACTTCTTAACGATACTTTTTCGATCCTTAGAAACAGTAAAGTTTGGTGAAATGCGGCAAGAGATGTCGCTTCATTTTCTAATAACTTTAATAAAGCAGCACTGTTAATAGTCTTAGTTACTCTGTTATAACGTGCTGACAGTCTTATTTGACTCTTCAGGATATGTCAGGCAACGATAGTTGTCAATGCATCGTTTTTAGTTCCGGTCCTAAAACGTAAACAGTTGAACAAGCTAATATACTACGAATAATCTTTCATTTATATATTCCACGGGGAAAGCACCAAATTATGCGTGTATGTGTACCTTATAGTAGCATGCTGGGTTGAACGTGACCAACCAGCAATGAAATTACTTTCGCTTCTCTCAGCGATTCGTTGTCTATGGCTACTACTTTTCGACGGTGCATTAATCGTGGCACTTTGCGTGAGATCTGGAGATATTGTCGACTTTATGGTTTTAAAAAGCAACCTATAACAATAACAACAACTGCGTATAATATAATTTTTGCAATATCTATTACTCATTGCGAGGTGTGAAAAGCATACCTAGGTAGCAGTGCTAGAACACAGGTAAGTATTACTGTAAGCCAGTACGTGTATCGCATGATAGCCATCTCCATTACCCAATACGAACAAAGTAGACCCATACAGTTAACACAGACTATATTGTAAATTAAACAAAATCCGAAAAATACTCCCAACGATCCCATTACAGCGAGAACATGAATTACAGTCTGAAAATAAAATCGTAACATCTCGTAACGTGTGTTGCTAAATATATCCCCGAGATATATTTATCTTACCCAAGATTTAATTTCTATGGCAACATGAGTCAACATAACAACGATACAACAAGTCATTACGGTAGTTCCGAATTCCCATATATCAATAGTTGAATCATTGTATACCTAAACAGAAGAATCACGATTTAGAATGGTGCATTGGTTTACACTATCTGAAAATCTTCAAGACTATACTAACACCCTCATTTACAAAAAAAATGACGATACTTTGATACAAAGCATCAGCAATAGTTATCCAAAACGAGTGTGGTTGATAGATGAGTCCAAGACGTCCTCGTTTATAGAGATGGGGCATAGACATCAAAACAGCTGGAGAGGCGACTCGGTCGTATACGCCCAAAACAAGTGGCGGCACAGACGTGAATATTAAATTGTACAACATTAAGTATATTTGGTCCATCATGACTGATCCCGTGAAACCACAGTACAACTGTCAAAATAATATGTCACTGTTATATAAGTAGTAAAAATAGGTGAAACAGGATATGCTTACCTGAAACCAGAATATAAGAAAGATGAAGGTGGCGTTTTTGTAAAAGAAATACAAGATCATTCTAGCCAGACGATCGTAGCACCAGTGTCCGTGCAGAAGAAGGAGTCTGCTGAGCATTGAGAATCGTGAAACGGCAAAGTCTGCTGCCATGACAGCTTGTGTACCTTCGTGTCCGGAGATACCAACACCCACATCTGCGGTTTGAATCATGCTAACATCATTGGCGCCATCGCCAATTGCCAATGTTCTCATTCCCAACTGTTCCTTCACTATACGCACTATATACGCCTTCAATATATCATAGAAATCTATGAAATGGTGAATTATAAAAAGGGGGAATGAAAATAAAAGAAATCGAGTTCACCGTACTTTCTGAAGTGGCGTAGCTCGACATGCCAATACGCTTGAACACGTTTTTGTCAACTCAAGAAACAGTCGGGTTAGTCCTGATCGTGGATCGAGGATAACGGTCAAGGTTTTTCCATCTACAACCAGAGCACGTTGTTTCGGCCATGGATTGTCTATCCTGTGTGCCTCATTTTCCACTGGATCGCGGTTAAACATTCTAATTTCCCTAATGTCATCCACTCCTCTGTGTTCAGTGCCCTGAACTATACTTTCTTTACGCGCAGATTCTAAATACCCGTGAATTAAGGCCTCAGCGACAGTCTTGGATCTTGCTTGCAGCCATAATAATTGCATCGCCGGCGAAAAAAGACGCGCTGCGTATGCAATATTCACTGCAGTTTCCGGCTTGTCCCCTTCGAATTCAACACACCTATTAGCTACATATTTTCAAATTAAGTTTACGATGAAAATCAATACCTGTTAGAACCCAAACTATGATCCCTGCTGCCATGAGCGTAGCCATAGTCTCCGGTACTCCAGCTTGGAGTTTGTCCTCAATTCCAGTTGCGCCTAGTAGACTTAAATGAGATTCGAGATTCTTATACGACTCTTTGATACGAAAATCGCGATTTTCCATCGCCAGTTCCGCCTCTGTATGCGCTTGACGCCAATTTTCGTACTCTTGCGACGTCAACGACTTTTTCGCTATCACCAACGTTCGAAGACCTTGACGCGCGTACGATTGCAGATGCTGTCGAATTTTGATCGTCATTATAGAATTCTCCTCGTGAGGAATTAGAGACGATAATATCGCCGTATCGGCGCCCTTGCTGTACAATATTACTTCGTTTGTGAGAGGATGCCGTACCAAAATAGACATACATTTTCTATTCGAGTCAAACGGCAGAACCTAAAATTTACAACCCGTTACATGTATTAAAATTTGAATCATACGAATTGGTCCTATCACACATACTTCCTCTGATTCACTTTCATCGACAATTCACAGAGAAAGTAACATTCGACAGAGGGGAAAAGATTTAGAAGTATACGTACGCGTTTATCCATAACGAACTTACGTGAAGAATTTCGAAAGTAAGAATAGATTTATCCGGTAGGCAAACGATCGCGCTACGTGCCGTTCGTTTCAGAAGTTTCACGTCATAAGCACGAGCCGCGTTCACCAACGCGAGCTCGTCCGGACTTTCCGCTTCGTAAATCGCCGCGGAGGGTAACAATTCATCTCCGCTCTTGCCGCTCGCGTCGATAACGGGACTCAGCGGACTGCGTCTTTTGTGCGCTCCGTTCGGTGACAATTTTCTTCCCAACAATCCCATTCCTAGACTCGGTATCGACGTCACGTTTAGGAATCTTGGCCTGTAAATAATTGTCGTTCAGTCTACCGTGATAAAACTAAGCAAAATCGATGAAAGGAATAGTGACCTTAGCGCTTTATTCGGTAGTTTAGCGGTATTATTGAGAACAGATTCCATTTCAACTATCGAAGAAATCGACGACACGGTATCATCGAGACTATTCGTCGGATGTGACAGCGTAGACAAAGGGATGACCGGCGATGGAGTCAAACTTCTGGAATCTATCATTCTTGTGTACCTACAGAGAAGGAAAAAAAGATAGATAATTGATGGTAAGGTTACTAGCATAATAAGAAATTTCCACAAACCTTCCACGTTCTTCGCCGTTCTTCTGAGGCTCCTCGATCACTCCGCTGGAGTTCATAATGTCGTAATGGGGTTGAGAATTGACAACAACTGTATTACATATCGCTAATACGACTAGGAACTCTTGCAGGTGTTGTCTAAACGTGGTTATAAGGAGATCTTCCTTGAGCCGGGAGGAGGGTACCAAATTCTCACCGTCACCGCTGTGCGAGTAATCCTGTCCCCCCACGGCACACCGTCTAAACAGCATTTTATTTTCCGTCAGTGTACCAGTTTTATCGGAGAATATATACTGCACCTATCGGAATAGAAGAAAAAAAAAAAAGAGGCGGTGTTTCCTAATCGAGACGCACGCACAACGTTAATCAATTTCGCTTACCTGACCCAATTCCTCCGTGATATTGAGCGCGCGACATTCAGCCGAGCGTCCCGTCTCCGTGTCGTACAGGGCGCTATCGTGCCCGATGTGATAAACCTGGCCGACTTTCGCCATTTCGATAGTGACGTACAGGCTCAAAGGTATCATTACTTGGAGTATAATGACAAACGTCCAGAACGTTAGCATACTCTCGTAGTTTGGATCCTGAAGGTGTGGGATGAAAGGGACGAACGTCAGACCGTCATAATCGGATAGCCAGAAACGACAACCGGTGGCGCCTATCACGCACAATATCACTAAAATCACCACACACCATATCACGTCCTTATTCATCTGTTTTTCAAGCCTTGAGCGCTGGAAAAAAGCGTTGCCTTAATATCACGAGTAATCACGTTAAACTGTCCTCCCCGTTAAAGTCGAGAAGTTTTACCTTATACCTAGGTCCTCCATTATTCAGCATCGCCTTTGTCTCGTGTCCAGCGTATATCACTATTCCCTCCACAAAGTCTGTATTCTTTAACAAACACTCCCTGAGTAAAAGATTTTCCGTGGAAACAGGTACTCTACCACCGTTCGGATGAACCACCGCTCCGTGAAACCTGAAATTTACACGAGTTTCAACATTTTTTAATTCTTCTTGCGTCTCTTGTTATCAGGTCACCCCGTAAGTTCGTGCCGAAAGTGGAAACAAGAAATTCTACAGCGACGACGTAATGGTTTTGCCAGGAAATAATAGGAAAAATTGTGGAATTAGAAGGGGTTTTCTTTTTTTTTATCTAATTTAAAGGTTCGCTGGAAATATCGATCTGTATTATACAATTCGACAGGAACTTATGGGATGACTTAGTATATACACTTTTAACCCTCGTGCACTGTTCGAATAATTGTTACGCTGGTACTGCTCTTTGGCGCGTATAGGAAAAGTATGATAATCTCTAAATAAATCCAATTAGAAATATTGAACGCATAATTACGTAAAAATGACACATCATTCCTATATAAAAAACAAATAATTCTTTTATATATAATGGCTTTGCCTGCTGTGCTTTTGTACTCACAGGTAGTTAACGTATCAACGTATTCAAAATGAATATCTCCTACAAAATACCTCCAAACACATTTTTCTTTGCTCGACATACTCTCCTACTAGTACTGAACAAACGCGCTAAATTTCATATAAATCAGATACATTCTCAAAAAGTTATTAAATGCCAAAGTTCGATTTCGGGTCAAACTCATCCGAACAACATACCAGCGTATTAAAAATGAATATCTCCTACAAAATACCTCCAAACACATTTTTCTTTGCTCGACACATTCTTCTAATACTATTGAACAAACTCGCTAAATTTCATATAAATCAGATATTTCCTCAGAAAGTAATTTAACGCCAAAGTTCGCTTACGGGTCAAACTGACCCGAACACAATGGCACTTGGGTTCGATAAAAGCACAGCTTACCTATATATCCTAGTGCTTGGTTGATCGACCTCGATCACGGAGCGGAACTTGGCCGGTCGAAAAGTGTCCTGAAAATCCACGAAACCCCTGACAACTTGTCGTTGCTTCAGATTAGTCTCACCGTCCAGGTTACAGGTATCTATGTAAGCTACGCCCTGAGGATCGCTGCTCCGTAAGAGCAACACATCGGCCGGCACGAGTTCGTTGTTCGAGAGGTGAACCAAGTCACCGACCTTCACGTCTTTCCACGCCACCTTTGCATACCTGTCGTCTTCGCTGCAATCACGTGAAACGTGTTTTCCAGAAACGCATCTTTTATTAAACAGCCAAACAGGCGGGAAGTGTGACAAAAAACACGATACGGTATGGAAACGAATTTCGAATAATTGACATTCACCTGAGATGGAGTAGCTGTTCTTCCTTCTTTTTTTTTTTTTAATCAACGCCGCTAGGCACTCGATAAGACAAACAGGCAAAACGGCGTAACCTTCACAATCGACGATGATTGCCGGCTATATATCTAGCAATAACCGAACTGTCGTAACGGTCGGTCGTCGATTATTCTTAATTAACCGTCGCCACGGTTCAACGCTTCGCAACGAGTCACAAGATGCCGATTGATCAGAGAGAGAGAGGAGATCGATGGAAAGGACGATTCGAAGATACGAATTAAAAGAAAGAAAGAAATCGAGGGTGAAGTAAAAAATTCGAGGTAAAAGTCCTAGTTAAATTCTCCTCGCTTGAATTATACAAGCATCTGTGAAGTGGAACGAATCAATGTCCTTCCCTCCCTTTTATTCATATCGATTTGACGATATTACTTTGTCGAATCGTACTTCTATCAGATATCATTTCTTTCCCGTCTCCATTCCTCCACTCACAGCTGCTACATTATTCAACATTACGAAAGGTTGTTGAAAAGGTCTCGGCCACGATCTTACCCCTCCGTCGTTGACTAAAAACGATCGTCCTAAGGGATGTTGGCTCCTCGAAAGTGTGTGCCGTAACACGCCCTCGTACACGCGTCGCGTATGAAACGTGCCTCGAGGAACTAGCATGTTTTCAGATTCAAAGAGCAACCGTTTAGCCTGATCACGCGTCAAGGACGTTGCTTACTGCGGAGCAAGATCAAACCAATGATACCTTCGTCTAATTGAACGTCATTTTTATCGGGAAAAGATATCAACCAGCTGATCACTTTTGTATGCACAAATTGCTACCTCCACGATGTACACACGTTACACGTGTGTCTATCAGTTCCCGTTCGTGGGTGTAGAAACGCAAAAAAGAAATCGTTTCAAGGTTATTTTAAAAGTTTCCTAGGAGGATGTGACAATTCTTTTTTCTCCTCCGTTCCAACAGGCGCCATGCAAACGCGCTGGAACGATCAAATCTGACCTAGACATTATTTAAGGGGTCACGCACTTTTTCTCCCGCCAGATAGAGATCGTTGATCCGCGTAACCTTTTGGTAACACAACCGGGACCCGCTATTGTACCTTCTTCGTGTCGATTTTTCAACGAGTCCTGTCACACAGCTCTCCGAGAGGAATATGTAACGCATACACACGTAACCGTCTCTCTATTAAGAGGGACTTTAGGAACGACCTTTACCGGAGGAATGCAAAACTCATTTTTCATCGTACCGCGCCGCCCTTGAAGCCTCGTTACGTCCAACGTTCTCCGATGGTATTGAAAACGAAAAAAAATAACGGAAACTCGTCAAATGGATAGAGATAACGCTGTTAATAGTTTGTGTTCTAATTGCGTTACAGTTCGAATTTTCCCGAGATCTCCCCGGTCGTCGGTCGGTTTCGCCAGCGAGATTACGTTCATGTGGGAGGACAGATTCGGATCTTTCGAAAGCGAATAACAATGATTCATAGAACGGAAGAGAGAGAGAGAGACAGGTGGAAAACACGTTGCGTCTCGAACGCGTTAAAACCGAAACTCGTCCCGACGAAACCGTTCCAATTTGCATTTTCCTTATTCCCAACCTACTGTCACGTGCCGCCTGCTTTTCACGGTTGACCACCGATTAGCATTATTACTACGCGTTCAAGGAGAAACGTTTAACGGTTTACAAAGAAGTCCCACCGAGGCTCGTTTTCAACTCTTTCCAACCAGGGAATTTCACGTGATTGGCCTTCACGTGTGCCGCGACCGTTAATTACAGGTGACACATAAGGCACTGTTCGCGACAGAGGAATAAAGCTTTCCTATCGCTAAACGATATACACGATTCTTCCAGGGAAGTCTGGTCCACGTCTGAATTTTCGACGACAACGCGTCGCTGATAAATCGGTCGCCGCGATGAAAAGCTTTTCTATCGCAAACGAAATACACGATTTTTCCAGAGAAGTCTGGTCCACGTCTGAATTTTCGACGACAACGCGTCGCTGATAAATCGGTCGCCGCGATGAAAAGCTTTTCTATCGCAAACGAAATACACGATTTTTCCAGAGAAGTCTGGTCCACGTCTGAATTTTCGACGACAACGCGTCGCTGATAAATCGGTCGCCGCGATGACGACAGCAACTTCTGTGTAGCCTTAGAAATTCTTCTATGCTACAAGCCTCCATTATAGGTAACGCGTGGTTAGATAATGCAACACCGTTTTACCAACTTTTTCTTTTTTCCATAATTGTTCCTCGTTAACGTACACGAGGTCGTCCGTGACGTTCTTTCCTAATATTGCAAACAAGTGGAAACGCGCAAATGTCGGGAGAAGCGTTTGTGAAACACTTCCGATAGTAATATATCAAATTATCTAATAGAATTTCCGCGTGCAAATAGTGGCAGGGAAGGTGGCCACTTTTATCAGCTTCTTTTCTACGTTTCTACGCTCGTTATACACAGCCAGACCTTGCTTAACTGTCGTTTCTTCAGACAGATAAAGAACGCTAACGACAAGCGCCTGACAGAGAATAGAGACGTTACGAATATTTCCATATTCGTCGAAACGAACTTTCTATCGCCGATTGCACATTTTTCCCACCCGTTTTCCTTCGTTGCAATGGAACACTAGGATTTATCATTGTGTAAACGGAGTGTATAAACACGGTCGTGAAGATTCTCCTCTTAACACTTAAAGCGGCGCAATACTTAGGAGTTTTGCGGAGACATGCACTTTTACGAAACCAAATAAAATAACCGTTGTGAAGCAAAAGATTTCTACTGAAAAATTTTATGGGACGCGCCATTTTGACGAATTTCGAATTTCACGAGGAAAATTAGTGAAACCGTTTACGTTTCTTTCCTATCACTTACGCGTATTATAAATTTTATATAAATATATAATATCGTTTCTAAATAAAATAAGTTGCTTTTTAACCATTACGCGAATAACCGGGTACTCTTTTGCATAATTCTCACTTAAAATATTTCATCTTCCGGGTAAAAGATTGAAATATCCGGCCAGATCGTTGTTATTCCGCACATTTCCTATCCGTGTTTGCCTCCAGTTTAGAATTTTCTTATCAGAAAACTATTAAAATTGGACGATAAAGTTGACGACAATTCTCGTTATTGACGTAAGGGTTAAAGAAAATCTGCGGTTTCATTCACGCGTGTCCGTAAAGATGGGTGATAAGAAATGTCCGTAAACCGAGTGTTAATCATATAAGTATCGAGATAAAGGCATTTAGGCGCTTAATCGCTCGTCCACATATTACGCCTTAAATCGGGTCGCTTACGCTTAAAGTGTCAAGAAAATTACGCGCGAAACGATTTATCGCGCGAGATTCCACGAATGCAAGACTCTTTCTTGGAGATAAAAAGCGAGAGAAGAATGTCTCGGCACGCGATGCTGACACAGACTTCTAGATTAAGATGGGAATTTAGGTCATCGCCGAAAATTTCCTCGGAGCAGAGCGAGAAACTCGGTTCGATTGGTTAATTTATCGCAGCCGTTCCGGAGAACGAAACACGAGCGCCGTGGGTGCGATATGCGGGTATGTAACCGTGACACGATACCGATTCCACGCTTCGATGTGATGTAATCGGTGACGCGAGCCGCCGTTTAACAGCACCGCAAAAGGAACAAACCTAGATCCCCCGTCAAATTTTACGTTACACCTCCTCGAGGACAGGTTCGCGAATCTTTCCGCGTTCCATCGGGAGACGTTGAAAAAGTGGAGACGTTCGAACGTGGACAGAGGCTGTTATTTGGCAGAGGAAACGTTTCGACGATTCTTATCGTTACATCGTTTCTGTCGCATGAAAAACATGTTAATCCTGTTACTGCCAGGCTCATCTACGCGGTGTATGAGAAGAATGACGATTTGATATGCACGCTTCTAGAAATTGCTCTATGAAGAAGAAAATGCGAATTTTCCGAGGGAAAGTTTTAGCGCTTACTTAGAGGATGTGGAATGCAATTGTAGCGAGATTAAATGTTTAACGATAAATAATGTGATCTTTGATTGTATCATTTCTGTAGAATAATAATAATTTCTATAGTAATTTCCATAGAATAAGAATAATTGCTATAGTAATTTCTATGGAATAATAATAATGTCTCTAGTAATTTCTGTAAAATAATAATAATTTCTATAGCAATTCCTATAGAATAATAATAAATTCTGCAGTAATTCCTATAGAATAACAATAATTTCTCTAGAAAATTTCTATAGAATAATAATTTCCTCAGGTTTGCAGCTTTTAAGTTAGGGCAAAGAATGACTCTTACAGACCACAATTATGATCCGATTTTGTCTACTCTTAACATGCGATCTCTCGAAACAAGAAGAACCGTTAATGATCTGACGTTTTTACATAAAATGATGAATGGAGTTCTTTGCTGTCCGCAATTACTAGCATCTATAAATTTTTATGCACCATCAAGATCATTAAGATCCACTTCGTTGTTTCATCCAACCCTTTATAAGACTACAATCGGTAATTCAGACCCCATAAATCGTGCCTGCATCGAAGCCGAAGAACTAAGCAGGCATTTGAACTTTTCTTTGAGCAATGCTTACAGCTTCAAAAATTTGTTGTACAAATTAATGTAAGTAATGGTAACTGAATTATGTATTATGTATTATTAGAATTGTATTATGTATTACATTCTGAATGCTTATACACCCTATGTACACTAATGGGACTTGATCCCGTTTGTAATAAAATAATAATAATTTCTCTAGAAAATTTACTAGAATAGGGGAGAGTCGTGCAGTACCGGCCAAAGCTAAATCTCGCTTATACTGTTAGTTGACTGCGCTATTGATGGAAAAACAAACGAATACTACAGCCCTGAGTATTCTTTTTTCTTCG